TTCTTTCTGTAGCCCAGGAAAGCCTTAAAATGAGCGCCAATCCACCGGCCTCAGTTTCCCAAAGTTACAGAATTACATATTTGAGTAACCAGGGCTGACCCCTTAGACGCTTTGTTTCATTGTGTTTTGTTTTTCTGTTTTTTTTTTGTTTGTTTGTTTGGCGAGAGAGCAGTGAAACACCCCGCCCGAGGACTCCGGATGCTTTGCTCTGGTCTCGGAGGCGGTTTTCAGTACAAATAAAACGAAAACAAACAATGCAAAACTGAGCTTATTATTATTTTTTTTACCCTGAACTAAGTAGAGCCCTTAAGCTTCAAATATTAATTTATTTTTATTCTAAGCTCGAACAATTATATATATATATATATATATATATATATATATATATATATATATATCTATATATATCTGTATATATATATAGTAGTCCCGGACTACTGCTCCGGAGCCTGGAATGGACCAGCCAGGAAGAACCCCCGGGTGAAGCCCCACCCGCAGGGTAGGAAAACGGGATAAACTGCCCCTTGGTTGTCTCGTTTCCGTAGTTCACGACTTTCAGGAAAGGTGTAAAACTTTATTCATCTCCCTCTCTCCTTCCTCATCTCGGTTACTGTTTGACGTTGTTGTTTTAATGTACTCCTTTTCAGGAATTCCCTGCCACCACCGGGAATTTTATAATCAAACCCTCCAACCTGGCAGCTTTTTTCGTGCGTGGAGTCAGCCAAGCTGATTTCTGAAGACATCAGGTTCCGTCCAACCCTCCCGGCAGCCTCTCATCCTGGTTTCCGCCAACCTGTTCCTTAGCCTTTGTGAATCGACACCGCTCCACTTTTTGAAGGTTGAAGTAATCGGAATCTCCAGGGGTCTGGCCGGGTCTCCGCTGCCGGGGTCCTGTGCCATTTCTCCCTCCCCCCCCCCCCCCCCCCCCCCCCCCGCCTCGCCCCGCTCCGTCCTGCCCGCAGCCTCTGGGGTTGTTTCTGAAAGCTGCGTACTGCTCCCGTTTAAAACAGAACAACACAGATCTCTGAAGACTTGTGGGAAAAGAAAGCATGGGAAGACTTGCAGAGTCCTTGGCGTGTTTCTTCCTAGTGTCGTTAAAGTTGCTTAGGCCAGTGGGCAGCTACCACTGGAGAGAGGAAGGGTAGCAGCAGGACGGGGAGGGAGACTTGACTAGGGTACAGGGTTTGTACTGCCAGTGCTGAATCGTGCAGTCCGCTACTGAAGGTAACCTGGGTCTGAGTGAGTTTCTTCCATTTCCGACAATGTCGATATTGGTCCCTGCCCAACCCCTCTTTCTTTGATCGCCCCTGGAACAGTGTGATCCGGTACCGGTTCTGACTCCAACCAGCATGATCACAGTGACATCTTCCTGTATTTAGTCTTCACTTTGTCGTCTTTTTCACTCCTTTCCCAGCATTTGTTGATTTCTAGTGTACATACTTCGGTCTTAGTCCTTCATTCCATTCCATGGAAGCAAAAAGTATGCTGTTCACTCTCCTGTAAGACTATCTTGAGAAGTTAGGCTTCCTCTTGACTCTAAATATAAACTTATTTTATCCTTATATAAAAAAGAAGCTATTGCATCATCTGAATTTATTGAACAGATTATACATTCTGAATAATTAGATACAATCATTGTGAAAAATTAAATGCAGAACAGAACCATTTTATTTTAGTTTTTTTTTTTTTTTAAAGATTTATTTGTGTGTGTGTGTCTGTGTGTGCGCGCATGTACACATGTGAGTTCAGGTGCCTGGGGAGCCCAAACTCACCAGATCTCCCTGAATCTCCATTTGAACCCCTTTAATATATGTGTATGAATGTATGTATGTAACTTAAAACACTCATACAAAGCTAGGTGTGGTGGCATACACTTTAATCCCAGCACTCCCCCGGCAGAAGCAGGCAGATCTCTGAGTTCAAGGCCAGCCTGGTCTACAAAGCAAGTTCAAGGACAGGCAGGGCTCATATACAGAGAAACAAAGAAACCCTGACTTATAAAAACAAACCAACCAAACAAACAAACAAAAACACAGTAGAACCTGTCTATATGCCATTCTCTAGGCTCTTAAATGTTAATATCCCTCCCTAAATGCCTTCCTTGACCTTGCCTCCTCCAGGCCCCCCTGCATTTAGCCTGTGGTGTTCCTTATTTCTAGGTCCCCAACTCCTACCACTGTGTTTTGTCCCTTCCCCTTGAGGCCCACCTCCGATGGCCTTTTAGCAGTTTTCTGGCTTCTGTGGGCATTCCAACATAAAGAAGCATGTAAAGATTCAAGTCTAGCCTCCAAAGGACTCATGTCTAACTTCCGCCAGTTACTAGTGAATCCCATAATTGCAGTCTTCCTTACAGCTAAGTACATTATATATCACCGAGCACATGCACGGCTGCTTTTCTATCCATTCGCCAGCTGACGGACAGCTAGGCTGCTTCCATTTCCTGGCGGGCGTGACTAAAGTCACAGTGAGGAGGGATGAACAAACATGTCTGTGGAAGAGAGTAGAGTCCTCTGAGCATACGCCCAAGAGCGATAGACGGGGATCATGTGACGGAGCCTTACACTGATTTCCACAGTGGTCACACCAGTCTACACTCCTTCCCCCACACTCACACCTGCACTTGTTGCCACTTTTTCTTTTTAATCTTAGCCGTTCCAGGTGGAGTAAAATCACAAAGCAGTTTTAATTTGCATTTCCCAGAGCCTGAGGCTGTTAAACGTTATATAAATATATGTATTTCTCAGCCATTTGCATTTCTTCTTTTGAGAATTCTGCTTAGTTCTGTGCCCTAATTTAATTGAGTTGTTTCCTTGACATTTAGGGTTTTTGTTTTTTTTTTGACTGTTTGTTTAGCTCTTTGAATTACTTAGATGCTAACCTTCTTTCAAATGTATAGCCAGTATTTTTTTCCCCATGCTATAAGCTGTCTCTTTACATGTAGAGAAGATCTATGTGGTTGCTTAAAGCGATTGTCTGAGGTAACTTGGGATACACAGTTTTCACCCAGTGTTCCTACAGAGAGGATAGTTCCATGATGCTATGTTAGAGTATAACCCCCTCTTGGTACAGTGCAAGAAAACACATCTTTACTCTACCTATTATGTTCCTGATTTTTCTGTGCTTGTGCTCAGGATCCTACGTTCAATCTACAACACTGAAGAAGAAGAAAAAATTACAGTGGAAAAGTATGGAAAGTGATAGAATAAGACTTGCCAATACTTAGGGATAGAGCATCCTAACAAAAGCTTGGGTCACAGGCGACAAACTTGTGAAATGCAAAGCAATTCAGTATGGCTGGAATAGTGAACCCAAGAGCAAGGGGTTCTGAAATGAAACTGAAGGTTACAGGAGTTAGGTTATGTGCAGTTTCAAAGGCCACTTTAGATGCTTTCTATCTGACTTTGAGTAAGACAAGGTGTTAGGAGTATGTCCTTCACGATGGAGGGAATAGCTGGTCTTACAGTTAATGGAATCTCCTGTCTGCTAAGTGGAAATGACCATGATGCAGAAAAAGGAGACCCTTTAAGAGGCTTCTTAAACAAGTCAGTGAAATGGTATCTCAGAAGCAAGAGCATTGAAGTGTGTGAGAAGTCACCAAATCCTTGATACAGTTTTAAAGAAGATCTAGCAAAATTAATTGATGAATTGTTGTCACAGATAATCACAGTGTACACTGTCGGTGGAATTTGGTGTTTGGCAAAGGAAGAGAGATGAATTCCAAGCTGAGTGGAGCTGACTTTCTAGTAGAGGGGCAGCAAACTGTAAACATGAAAATATGTATAACGCTTCTCACATTTGAGGCCTGAAGGGATATCTCTGCAGTTTAGTGCACTGGTCACTCTTGGAGAAGACCCAAACTGGCTTCACTTACATGGTGGCTCACAGTCATCTGTAACTCTAGCTCTGGGGGATCTCACATCCTTTTCTGACCTCCCTGGGCACTAGACATATACAAAGTACATAGACATAAAAATCGGCAAAGTATTTAATCTAAATACTTCTTATAGTGCCTTGAAAGGGCTAAACCTTCAAGCTGGATAGAGGGATAAAGAAGGGCCATACCTTTGACAATAAACATTTTTTTTCTTTCTCTTGTTCCCAGTGCTGCCTTCAAACTTTCAATGTGCGGCTGAAGGCGACTGAACTTCTGATTCTCACCTCCACCTCCTGAGTGATGAGATCGCAAGCATCCCGGTCTTGCACCACCATGCTTGACTAATTTGGTGATGGAGAGTGCGTGCTAGGCAAACATTCTACCACTGAACTACAGCCCAGCTCATTTCGCCTTTGAAAAAAAAAAAAAAAAGTGATGATGACCTTAGATTTTTCTGAACTTAAAGATTAAGGGAGTAAACCCCACGAAGTTATGAAGAATTAAGAGCTCACAGAGAGGACAAGCACTGGTAAGAATTCTGAGATAGCATTAGCCACCATAGACTGTAAGAAGTTTTAGGGAAAGAGTGGCAGGATTGTAGGTCCAAGAGAGCGATAAAGGTAATATGGAAAAGCTGGAAAGCAAATAACAAAATAACATAAAAGTTTGGGACCAAAGAACCAAGGAAAGACTGATTGTTGGGACAACCAAAGATATTTTGAGAGTCAGAGAGGAAGAATGAAGTAAGAGTAAAAGAAAACCTGAGGGTGCAGGAGGAGGTACTGAGATAGAATGGGGAGACACTGGAATTGGGTAAAGCAGGAATGGGGAATAGGAAATCAACAGGAAAAAAGCTGACCGTGGCAAGGAGGAAGCTGAGATGGAGAGGCCAGAGAAAAAGAAAGCAAGGTGCAGAGAATATTGCCGTGTCAGCCATCCACTACTGACTCTGGCGTCTGGCTATGCTTTAGTGGTTACTACAGACGCCTAACCTGCCCAGAGAGGCACCCCAAAAGAAACATGAGCTTCTCATTAACGACAAAGCCCAACCCTGGAGACATAATATAAGTGTTCAGTGACGGGGAGAGTAGAGTGCCTGGAACCCTTACACAGAGTACTGGAAAGGATGGCGGTCAAGGCTCCATGGTTGGGTTTCTTGTTTCTGGTTTCCCTCTGGGGGCTGTCATCTCCAGGTAAGGTGGGTTGAAGGTCAAGTAGGGAGACCTGTAGGGTCCAGCCCAACTCTCACACCTTCCTGTTTCACAGCCCTGCTCCTCAGGCGCCTGAGAGAACACATTCAGAAGTCCCAGGAGAGCTCTAGCCTGCACCTAGGCATTGGCCTAAGTCAGGGTCCTGCGGCTGTCCCCAAACAAGGATGGTTAGAGCAGCCACTGGATCCCTTCAATGCATCTGACAGGCGAACCTTCCTGCAGGTGAGGTCACTGTCCACTGTGCTCTCTTGTCAGCCAACTTAGTCTGCACCTCCTCGGGGTCCCCCCACCCCCACCCCATGCTTTCTAACCTACCCAGCTCACCCGAAAGCTCAGAATTTGAGAGGTGAAGACAGGAGGATCGGGAGTTCAATGTCATGCTGGGCTGCAAAATGAGTTGGAGTTCTGTGCCATGACATAAAACTGTCTCACAGAGAAAAAAAAAAAAAAAAGAAAATAGAAAAGAAAAAAACAAGCAGCAGATTTTAACATGTAGCAGAAGAATTCTAAACTAGCCTTGAAATCAATAGTAACAGCAGGTGTTAGAAAACCACACGAAGAAATAAATAAATTTACCCTATTTCATTTGCTTCGTCTGTATATAATCGGCAAAGGTTGTCCCACTATTCCTAAACCTAGTCACTACTTATTCTATGATTACTGCTTCACAAAATAGCAGAGGTCTACCATGCACTAACCACTTCCCTCTTTCCTGAGGATTCAAAAATACAAACACAAATAAGAGCTTTTTTTTTTTTTTTTTTTTTTTTTTAGGAAAATACTTTTATTGAGCACACTGCAAAAGCGCAGCAAGCTGGGCCGTAACTAGAGTGCTCACCTCTGCACCCCAGGGGCCCAAAATCTGGGCCCAGCTAAAACAACATTGAGTAGATGGGTAAATTCTTAGAGAAAAGGCTGGAGTGGAGGAGGAAGAGCGTCAGGATGCTCACTGACCTTTCTTCTCTCTCACCCCACTCCTAGCGGTACTGGGTGAATGATCAACACAGAGCTGGCCAAGATGCACCAGTATTTCTACACATAGGCGGCGAGGGCAGCCTTGGGCCTGGCTCAGTGATGGCAGGTACGAAGCAAGGTTTGGGGAGCTGGTGTTGAGCAGGAAGAGGAACTGTGGAGGACAATATTGTGAGACCTGAGAAGCTCCATAGCTCATACTCAACTCATCCACCTCCCTACCGTGTGCTCTTCACAGGGCATCCTGCAGCACTGGCCCCTGCCTTGGGGGCCCTGGTGATAAGCCTGGAACACAGATTCTATGGTCTGAGTATGCCTGCTGGGGGCCTGGACATGGCCCAGCTTCACTATTTGTCCAGCCGCCATGCGTGAGTGGGGATAGAGGAGTTTGGGATTCTAGGGCTAGAATGCTGTGTCAGCGTCTCCCCAGTTGTGCCTCTGCTACTGCCTGAGCCTCTGGCGTCCCCTTTCCTCCTTTGTGTCTCATAGTCTCTTAATCTTTCTCCTGTCATCCCTAACTTCATTCCTCCCTGCCCTCCATTCTGGTCTTTCTGCCTGAAGAACGCTAAAGCTCTCACTGCAGACTACTGTTCCAGACCACGAGAATTTCTTAGCAACGTCATAGCCATATCCTCTGTGACTGCCCTTGACTTCCATATAGAAAACAGAAGTTGGATCATGACCCTTCTGGCTCATTCCTTAGACCCCTCTGCTGCTCAGAAGTCTGTAGAAGCCTCAAGGTTTCCCAGTTAAGTCACACTCAAGTCTGTAGGAGCCACACATCTTCCCAGTTAACTCACACAGTGTGGCTGAGCTACTCCAATTCTTGCTTCACTGACAGAGACTCTTCCATCTTCAAGGAAACTGGCCTTCTCCAAGATATTTGTATGTCTCTCTCCTTCCTGTGCACCTCACAGGAAGGAGGTGTTACTAATCCCTACCATCACTTTTTCCAACCTCTCACCCGCTTTAATGCTCTAAACCATTCTTATCTCTTCCTTTCCAGCTTGGTACCTCTTTTCCTCTATTGGTCTCCCAAACTGTCCCTTCCTTGTTTCCATCTCTCTCAGTCTCTCCACCTCAGTTTTCTCCGTATACTCGATTGGCTTCGAATGGCAGCTACACGGCACTGACTGAGAACCACCTCAGAAAAGCTGAGGAAAAGAAAGAATGTCATTTAGGCCAGTAACTTTCTCTTTTCTCTTTGGATTTCTCCCAGTCCCCAGTTCCTTAGCCCATCCTGCCTATAACCCCTCTTCTTCTGGGGCGCCCTCCTTGACTGCCTCTGGCTTCTTTTTATTTTTGTTAAATTTTCACTCTAACGTGCTCGGTGCTAGGACGCTTTTCCGTTCTCACCGAAAACGGGTGGGCTTTGTCCACTGGCCTAGGCAGTGAGCCTCATCTGAGGGAACTTGGGCCCAGCTTAGGTTTTGGTACCAGTCTGCACAGTGGTCCTCAGGGGTTGTAGGGTTCGACTTCGTCGCTCCTTTGCAGGTTGGCTGACGTGGCCTCTGCCCTTCAGGCGCTTTCCCGCCTCCTCAATGTGTCTTCCTCCAGCCCTTGGATCTGCTTCGGAGGCTCCTACGCTGGTTCGCTGGCGACCTGGACCCGGCTGAAGGTCCCCCAAACCTCTCGGGTGGGAGGGTTGGGGAGGTCGGTCCAAGGGTAGGGGGACGTGCTCCCGCGCCCCTCTCTACCCACGAGTGTCACTGGGGCCAAAGAGGGAGTCCAGGCTAGGGCACCTCTCCCGGTCCCAGACTGACGCCCCTCCTCTCGCAGTTCCCCCATCTCGTCTTCGCCGCCGTCGCCTCCTCCGCGCCGCTGCGTGCGGTAGTGGACTTCGCTGCCTACAACCGGGTAAGAGGTCGGCTCCAGGGGGCTGGGAGGGGGGACAACGCCCAAACCTGCGCTTTCCCGACGCACCTCCCGCACCCCGCAGGTGGTGGCCAGAAGCCTGACGCGAGCTGCCATAGGGGGGTCACAGCAGGTAGGCGGAACCTGGGGCGTGCAGGAGAGAGAGGGAAAGCCTGGCTAGAACGGGCGGCAGACTTAGGGCAGGCAGCCCGGCCGCAGAAGGCCTTAGCCCGGGGGTGCAGCTAGGTTTTGGAAGCTGCAGGACCTGAAAGCCAGGCGAGGCATCCTGAGTGGAGACGTCCTGTCCGGGGTGGGGGTGGGAGATGGGGTGGTCGAAGAGGAGGGGAGGGAAAATTCAGAGAGGGCGGGAACCAGGCCTGGGAACCGCCCCCGAGAGGAAGGGAAAATTAAGACGCCCGTCCCCTCCCCGCGAACGTCCCCCTTTTATTTCCAAAAGTGCCTGGCGGCGGCCTCCGCAGCCTTCGCGGAGGTGGAGCGGCTGCTGCGCTCAGGCCCGGCATCTCAGGCGGTGCTCCGGGAAGAACTGGGCGCCTGCGGGTCCCTGCACCTCACCGAAGACCAGGCCGAGCTGCTGGGGGCGTTGCAGGCGCTGGTGGGGGGCGCCGTGCAGTACGACGGGCAGGCGGGAGCGCCGCTAAGCGTGCGCCAGCTCTGCGGACTCCTCCTCGGGAACGGGGGCAACGGCAGTCACTCCACGCCCTACCTCGGGCTCCGCCGAGCGGCGCAGGTAGGCCGGAAGCTAGCGTACCGACGCGGCGCCTCCAACTCTGCTGGGCTCCGACAATCGAAACCTTCCTCTTAGCCTTAAATTTCTTACCTGTAAAATAAGGCTTGGACACCTCACCCGGCTGATGGTAAAATCAGCTTATTAAGCAACCAGGTGCTAAAAACGCAGAACACAAACATTAGAGACCATGATTACTCTCCCTTCCGTCTTGTTATGTGGTCTTGCCAACAGCAGTGTGTGGCATATTCAAATGCAGAACAGTATTTAAGACCGAAAGGTGGGGAGCTCTGGAATCATAGTTCTAGGGTTTCCGCGTCGTCCCCCCCCCCCCAACTCCTGTTCTACAGTTACAATTCCGCCATCACTTTTCTTGCTCTAATTCTGGACCGAGTTCTTTAAGAACAACTCACAAAACGTATTTTATTGACAGGCACATACAGAGGAGCAAACAGGTAGACGGATTGACTTTTGCCTGGGCTTGATTGACCTTGGACATTAAGTTACAGGGACCTCCTCTGGTGGATTCCCACTGACTTCTGACACCCAGAAAAACCTCAGGAACTCACCCTTCTCCTCAGTCTTGACCCTTAGTCCTACTCTAGGCCTGTAGCCCTGGCTTGCTGGGAGACGAGGAGCAATTTGGCTACCTATGTATGCAAGTACGTTTTGTTTTCTAGATAGTCTTGCGCAGCATGGGCCAGAAGTGTTTAAGCTTTTCCAGAGCGGAGACGGTGGCACAGCTCAGAAACACCGCACCTCAGGTGTCTGGCGTGGGGGACCGGCAATGGTTGTACCAGACATGCACCGAGTTCGGCTTCTGTGAGTGACCCGCCTAACCCCCAAACCAAAGCATCTTACAGATGGGCTGAACTCATGGTCACAACTGACCAGTCTCTGAGGCCTTGTGTAACCCCAAAGGCGTCTGGCTGGAGAGGGTCAACAGGCACCTGGGGTGACATCCACGCCGAGGAGGCCTCAGCATGAGTGCCCCCTTCTTCCCTGTGCTCCCTGTATTTTATCCCAGAACGGCTCCTGCCTTGCTCAGTCACTGGGCTAGAAACTTAATCCAGATTCCTCCTTGCTGTTGTCCAGATGTCCTGTCGAGCACTGAGTCTTGCCCACTTTGCAACCTGAACGGTTTTTTTCAGTCTTCCCCCTCTTATTCTGTGGTCCTGCAAGAGGCCCCCTACACACTGCTGCCTGGACCCCAGGCCTCTTCCGGTGTCTATGTTTGGACTTCACCTGTGCAGTCTGACTTCTCTGCCAAAGCCAGGGAAATCGTCCTAAATATGGGATTGCGCTTCAGTGACCCAGGGTTGGAGTTACTGGACGAAATACACCTCGATAAATCTGAACTACAGCAAAAAAAAAACAAAAACAAAAAACTAACGCAGATAAAAACTCAAACATCACATGTAAATAAGTAGTGGGGGTTTTGTGTATCTATGAATACAGGTATCTTGTATCATGTGTCAAATCTGGTCATCCTACCTCAGAGTTAAGCCTTTGTTTTCTTTTGGGGCATAGAGGTTTACCATGTAGGCCAGGTTTCCCTTCAACTCACAGCAGTCCTCCTGCTTCAGCCTGAGTGCTGATATGACAGGCATATGCCACCATACCCGGTTCAGAATTAAAATTTAAATCTTTCTAGACTTAGAAGACAAGTGAGGTAAAGTGTTCCAATTCCATTTCCTGTCTGTGTGCTGTTGGACAGACTTAGGCAAGTCCCTAACTGTTACTGGCCAGTTTCCATATCTATATGGAACAACAGTACTTTTCTTACTGCTGTTATTCCACAGCTTTGAGTATTTGGGGCTGCTCGATACACCAGCTTAGGAATTTGACACCTTCTGTTCAGGGTACGAGAATGATCCGTTTCCCCTCTCGTACAGAATGCTCTTTTAGTCTCGCCACAAGACACTCTTCCCCAACACCTTCCATCATCCCTCATGACAAAAACCTTCGTCCCCTTGTTATTCTGTGTCCTTTACTGTATTCTAACCTGTCATTCACACACACACACACACACACACACACACACACACACACACACAATCTCTCTTTCTGATCACTATAGCAGCAGAGCATGGAGCTTCTTTGGTTGCCACTTTCTGCCCAGTATTGCCTTAACATATGTCTGCGTACGTTGTAGGTGGTCAGCAAATGGTGAAGGAAGGAAGGAATTCGTGTCAGGCCAAGGGAATCAGATTTACCCAGAACACTGTGAGCTATGGGTTTTAATCAGGGGAGACATGATCCTCATTGAGAGCTAGTCATTCCAGAGTCTCCCTTCCCTATAAACCTTAGCACTGCCTCTTTTCCCTGTTGGTTATTGCTTTTAGTTTGTCTCACCCATCCTACCTCTTCATGTTCTTGTTCTTTGCAGGTTGCCCTCCTTGAGCCCGTTGTGCTCTCACTAGGAGCCTCACCCACTGGCCTTTTCCATCACAGCCCTAGTCACTGGGGATGTTATCTGGGATGTGTAGGATCTGTTTGGCAGAACTGTGAACTCATGGAGGGCACGACTGTGGGGCGTCCTATAAATTGGTTGGAGGAAAGCAGGACCTGGCTATATGTATTCTCCACACTTAGGGGTGTTCTCTTTCCACAGATGTCACCTGTGAGAGTCCTCAGTGTCCTTTTACCCAGCTCCCAGCACTGCCCTTCCAGCTAGAGCTGTGTGAACAAGTGTTTGGTATCTCAGCTGCATCGGTTGCCCAGGCTGTGGCCCAGACAAATTCCTATTATGGTGGCCAGACCCCCGGAGCCAGCCAAGTACTGTTCGTTAATGGTGAGTATGCCGCCAGAACCTGGCTTTACAACGCTGTAACCCCAGCTCAACACCATCGTCTCCTTTCTTTCCAGGGGACACAGATCCCTGGCACGTACTGAGTGTAACACAGAACTTAGGACCCTCTGAGCCAGTCCTTCTCATTCCTAGTGCCTCCCACTGTTTGGATATGGCACCTACGAGGCCTTCAGATTCTCCCAGCCTCTGCCTGGGACGCCAGGTGAGAGAAAAGGCCCTGGGTATTTTGTGTTATCATTTACAAACTTATTTGCATGATCCTTCTTTTTACCACTGTGGAATCTGACTTCCAGAATGCTCCCTTCTTCACAGAGAATCTTCCAGCAGTTACAGGTCTGGCTCAAGGAGATAAAAAAGAGCTAGAATTGATGTAGGATCTAAACCCAGCCCTTCACCAGCCACATTATGGCAACTGCATCTTGGCATTCTTCTTCACTGTACAAAAGAAAGCAGCTGGCTTGGAAGGAGGAAGTTCCCAGACTTAAGAGTCAGCGCTTGCTCTACGTACCTGTTCTCCAATCATCCCCATTGCCAACTACAAGTGCTTTGTCACAGACCAGTGTAAAAGCAGGCAAAGGATCACTGTTCTTTGTTGGTATTCTGTATGGTAAATGTCAGGGAAATGTGGCTGCCCATGCTTGAGCCTTCTCCCAGATCAGAAATCTGGCTTCTGGACTGGGCACCTGCTGCCCATGATCTCCACATCCTGACTGATTCTGCCAAGTCTTAGTCTGTGATGGTGAACCTTCATTGTGAGCTTCTTTGTTACCTGGATTTAGAATCACCATAGAAACATAACTCTGCACTGTCTCATCTCTGTGGTCCCAGGTGAATAAGAAAGGAAAGCTGAGTGCCAGCATTCGTTTCTCTCTGCTTCCTCTCTGTGGGCATGGTGTGACCAGCTGTCTCCTGCCCCTACCACCATACCTCTGTGACTGTGCGCCAATGCACTAAAGCAAACCCTGCCTTCCTTAAATGTTTCTCGTCAGTTTTTTTTGGTCACAGCAGCAGGAAGAGAAACTAATACAGTCTGTTTTTTTCCCTGTGTGTTTCAGCCTGGAGGAAACACCTGCACGACACTTCCCTTCCCCTGGCTCTCTTTTGGTCTTCCTTTTAGCATCTTCACCCCCTCCCCCTCCCCACCATCACTCTCCAGTACTTCTAGCTTTCCGCATGGAATGTCTTGAGTTCTGATGCATCACCCTGATTTTCTAAGTTTCCTTTTGGGGGTTGATCCTAGTGCTACACTCAGGTTGTACCACAGCTCACACCTCTGGGCACCTGCCACCAGCTGTAAGGAGCCCTTCAGGAGAGTGACAGTGTCTAAGGAGCAGCCGGGAGAGAGGGAGAGCTGAAAAGAAAAGGGCCTTCCTCTAGCCCTTGCTCTGTGAGGAAGCTCAAAGCAGAGGACAAGCTGTACCACTGCGCCCTTTTAGACATTTAGATGTGCGCTGGACGCACACAGGATGCGTGCTTATCATCTGCCAAGAGTCATGCTGCCCTCCCAAAAAAGAGAATCATGCCCTTCCTGTGGAATCCTCATACTTGGGGCTTTCCTCCTGCTCTGCTGGGTGTGCCTTTGAATATCTTCTGCAAAGTTCCTTTGAGATTGACACCTGGATGGGTTGGCAGCTGACCTACCTTCTCCCCTCAAGCATTCTCAGAGCTGCTGGAGAGGGCTTTTCCCATTGGAGGGCTTTAAAAGTAACAATCTCTTGGCAGTGACATTTTATATATCATATCAAAAGCTTTAAAAAACATGAAATTAAAAATCTCAAGCATAGCCCTCCCTCCTTTCCTTAGAGGGTGTCACTCTCCCAGAGTTGCAAAAAGAAGAATTTAATGAAACCACATCAACTGAAAAACTTCTGTAGAGCAAAGGAAATATCAAAATTGATAGGCTGTCCCGGGGGAGTTGGAGAAAGCATATACTAGTCCTGTGTGAGATAAGGGACTAATATAAAAAAAACATGAGGAACTCACATAGCTCAGCAACAAAAGTAATAATAAAATGGGCAAAGTGCTGGACTCAGAAAAATGAGGCAGAAGAAGAGTGACCTGACCACCAACTTGAGCTCCACAGTGAAAAATCTGTCTCAAAAATAAATAAATAAATAAAAATAACATGCAACCATAGAAACCTGACTTAACATTTTTCCAAAGGAAGCCTAAGAGTGGCCGACAGGTATATGAAACCATTCTCACTATTATTAATCATCAGAGAAAGCAAAGCAAAACCAGAGGAGGCGGCATGTACCTCTGCTGGGATGGTTGTTGTTACCAAAGTACAAGAGAAAGCAAGTGTTGGTGAAAGTGTGGAGAAAAGGGAGCTTTACACCTTGTTGTGTGGATTGTAATAGAAAACACTGTGGAAAAGAAGACAGAGGAACCTAAAAAACCATGTGGCCCAGCAATCCCTTTATTGTGCATATTTACAAAGGAAATGAAATTCAAGCCTTAAAAGCTGGCAAAGGAAGCAATCCAAATCAGTATCCTTCCTCCAACCTTTGCTGTTAGGACTTGGCTCCTCCCAGTGTCTGGGACAGGAGCACCCACCCCACCAATACCCACAAAGTCTTCCAGCCCATGGACAGTAGTGGGACAGGCTGCACTCCTAGGAAGGCCACCAACTATTGACCTCTTCTATCTCAGAGGTTGGGGACTGGTGTGAAGCAGTAAGAATTTTGTTGCTGAGACTTTACAGATTTTCTCAGAGAATTGTAGAAGGATGCCATTTGTTCATGGTGTTCTGGTGTATACTGTCTGTAGAATACCGGAAGACGCAGGGTGGTAAGGAGGCAACTCAGGCAAAGTACAATGACAAAGCTGTGCATTCTAGCATAATTGTGTGTGAATGTTGCCAACTTGCCTCGATGAGAACAAAGTGTAGACACTCAAGCCATAGCTTAACCACCAAAAACATTTCTGTTGAAGAGCTGGCATGAGGCTGGGGATGGAGCTGCTTGCTACAGCTGGCTCAGCCTTGGGAAGATCCTGGGTCCCATTGCTAGCACCACAGAAAAGAACAAGATGGAGTTTCCGGAAGGTTATGGGCTCTGGTTTTGTTTATTTGTTTGTTTGTTTGGTTTTTTTTTTCCTTTGGTTCTTTTTGTTTGTTTAGAATTCAGTAATGAATAAAATATAGGAGCCAAGAGATTTTTAAAGGGAAGGGGGAAGAAAACAGATGGTCATTGGATAGACTGACAGGATAGCAGAAAGAGGCCTACTATGGGGGAGAAGGGAGACCAATGAAAGGAGGTCAAAGAGCAATGAGGAAAGGGGGCATAAAATTCCATAATGAAACCCATTAATTTTAAAAATAAACTAAAAAAAACAAATAAAAATAAAAATGAAGAATAAATAAGATAAATAAAGAATAGGAAGAAAAAAATAGGAAGAATCAAATTCTCTGTATGTTTTTAGGAAAAACTGATTTTTGTTACATTTATTTGTTAGTGTGGTAAATGTGCTTGTGTGTGGACTACAGGCTGTGTGCGGAGAACAGTGGACAGTTTGTGGAAGCTGGTTCTCTCTCTTGACCACATGAATCCTACATGAAAGTCACCTTGTCAAGTTCAGAGGCCAGTGTTTGGCAGCCCAGAAAAACAATGCTTGTAAGCCCAGAAAAAAAAAAAAAAAAATACACTGGTCATATTTACAACTCCTGCCTCTTGCTCTCAGATCTCACAAGCACGTCGTGTGCAGGGCCCCACCGCACACAAACTAAGTGAACGCTTTAAGTTTTTACAAGAAATAGTATACAAATCGGTAGCGGTTTACATAGACCTGACTCACACACCCTCCAGAGAGCAATGCTTTTTCATTTTTGTTTCTCTGTGTCTGGTGTATTCTTTTCCTAGAAAAAGGAAAATCTAAAAGTTCATGGAACATTCAGTTATGTTTTGCTTTCTCAAACAAGCAGAATAGTTGCTGAAAATGTTTAAATACATGAGTTAAACCATTCAGAGCTAGAGAAGTGATTGGTGCCTTTGTACTACAATTTATCATAACTTAACTATGTAACGTGTATTACATGTGCTGTACGGTTTTAGAGACCATGTGACATGTCTGTGTCCCAGGCTAGTTTGGAAACTTGAAATCCTCCTGCTGTACTCTGAGTGCACACAGGCTACCAGGCTTGGCTGTTATAACTTTTAATATGCTGTGTTTTCTTTTCTCATAAAAATTATTTTGGCTGTACAAGGTGGCTCAGAGGTTTAGGGCACTTGCTGCCATCCCTGAAAACCTGAGTTTGGTCTCTAGGACACATATGGTAGAAAGAGAGCCCTCCTCCCCAAAAAAGAACTTTCCTCTGACCTTCATTTGTGCACCATAGCAGACACACACATACACAGGCACACACATAGGCACATACATTAAATAAATAGACACATGTACTTCCAGACATGGCTTGGCCAGTGCATCCATGAACTCACTACACTCACGGCTGAGTTACCTGCACAGGTCAACTCAGAAAGGTCAGTCAGAATCCCAGCATGCAGTGCTAACTGGCTTATGCTATTAACAACAACAACGAAAACAACAAGACTCAGGAGGGGATTTGAAAGGAAGAGGATGATATATTCTAGAAGCTTGGGGAAAGTAGGAGAGGGAAGTTCAGGTATTCAAGATTTGTTGTCTACATGTACGAAATTGTCAAAGAATAGATAAAACTATTTTATTAAATTCATTGCATTGAATTTAAAATCCCTTATTGATATTTAGGAAGGTTTTAAATTGTTCTGACACTGCCTTGATGTTGAGATTCCCCTGCTTTTAAATAACTCATATGTAATCCAGGATCCTTACATTTTTATTGGTGACCTTTGATTTAGTTATTTCTACAGTACAGCCCACCAACCTGTTTCCTCTTTTCTTTCCCCTTCCTTCCTAGTTTATGTGTGGGTTTTTTTATTTTTTTTATCAGAATAGAAATATTTTGTTATCTTTTACCTTTGTCTTTATGTTTTAATCTCAGATATACAACTAAAATAAATACATTAACTTCTCACTAAAGTGGCTTTTGATGAAGACTCATCTCTGGATTTGATGAAGCCTATATTATTGTAAGTGCTCTATTTGCATTAAATATAGAAGACTGGCAGAGATAACACACACACACACAAAAAAAACAAAAAACAAAAAACAAAACAGGACAGGAAGAACAGGACATGGCACTGACCTTTCAAGTCAGATGCTATTCTTTGTCTATTAATTACAAAAATCCAGATCTGACTCCTGTCAAGGAAAAAAAAAAAAAAAAAAAAAAAAAAAAAAAAAAAAAAAAAAAAAAA